TGATGGCGATAGATTTGTGGTCGTCCATACACCCAGATCTCTGTGTCTTTCCACAGTTTCTAACCTCGTCCCGTCAATATAGTACTGGTGTTTGGGAGAGGCATTGCGGCCGGTGTTCAGGTGCAAAACCACGCATTTGGACACGTTAAACTTCAAAAGCCATCTGTTCGACCAAGCACACAGTTTGTTGATGTTCGACTGCAACTTCTCTGCGTCATCATCACACCTGACTTCACTCCATATTTTTATGTCATCCGCCAACATGAGAGCCTCGCAATTCACTTCGCTGATACAGTCATTAACATAAATCAGGAAGAGTACTGGGCCTACGACAGAACCCTGTGGGACACCACTTTCCACCTTAACCCATTCCGAGGTAGAATTACTAACGACGACCCTTTGTAGTCTGGAGGACAGAAAACTTCTGATCCACTTAAACCTTCTCCCTTGAATCCCTACATCCCAGATCTTTTGCATAAGAAGCCTGTGTGGGACACTGTCAAAGGCCTTCTTGAAGTCAAAAAATATAACATCTACTGGAAAACCCTTATCGGTAGCTCGTGTCCATTTCTCGTGTGAGTAAAGAACACTCGTTAAGCAGGAGCGCCCTGGACGAAAGCCGTGTTGGGCATCGCACAATATTTTGTTCTGTTCCAGGTATTTCATCAAGTGTCTTTTGATAATGCGTTCCATTATTTTACACGCGATGCAATTAAGACTGGCAGGCCGATAATTTCCGCAGTCAAGTCTTGAGCCTCCTTTATGGATCGGAGTAATCAGTGCGCACTTCCATTCTTCCGGTAGCTCGCCGTCTTCAAATGACTTTTTAAATATTGCGGATAAGGGTTTACACAGTTCATTAGCAAGTTCGCGAAGTGCTAGGGCGGGAATTCTATCTGGGCCAGGCGATTTGGCAGGCTTCAGCCGGAGTAGCTCGGCCCTAACAATGGTAGATGAAAAGAGTGGTTCCTCAGTTAAGGAGGGTAGGGAGGGGATAGGATGGGGAAGGGTACTGGGAGGAGAGGTTGTTTGGCGTTGTTTGGTGTCGCCTTGTTTGACGAAGGACTGCTTTTATCCTTTTTTACTTCAATGACTTTCATAGAATATGTGTTTCCATCATCTCTGCATTAGGATTCACTTATCTGGAAAGTTGTATGATGACTCTGTTATACATGACATTTATGAGGTGCAGAAGGATAATGCCTCTATAATAGCAAACATAATGCAACGAAATTTGAAGAAGACGTAATTTTCTGGCAAATGAGTAAGAGGAAAAATATTTTTGTATTTTTATGTAGGACACGCTTGAATTTATCAGGGCACCCGAAATCGACGGGAAATATTTATACTACTTAAATAGCCATTTCTGTGGAATGCACTTTACGCAGGCGGGCGACAAGAAACTCGTTCGAAAGCTGTATTCTGGCCTGACCGGATTACCTTGGCGTTATGCGACACGATAATTACCATGACAACCCTACTTAAGTAAGCTTTTCGAAATGAGCACGCATTTCAGAATCTCGATTAATATTTCATGAGGTAGCATATTTTCTGTATGCCGAGAGAAACAAACAAGCGAGTTCCAGCAAGCAGTTCAGAAGAAGAAGAAGAAGAAGAAGAAGAAGAAGAAGAAGAAGAAGAAGAAGAAGCGATCATTGGAACAAGTAGTTTATTGACATTCCATTTCGGCTTCTCACTCGAATTCAGCATCGGAGACAGTCGCAGATAAAGGTAGTGGAGGCACAAAGACTGCAGTATCTGTAGTACATAGCTGCTGGGGGGCCACACGCGTGCTATAAGTAACAGGTCTCGCGATCACCCCTGGGGGTCCCAACTGATGCGATGATCGCTTGTCACTTCGCATCCCTGTCGGTAATTACCCCCAATTTCATCATCCGTTTTTGATGTTGCAGTGATGACTACTCTGCAGTTTGGTCCGCTGCATGTCCGCGGCTTTATCATCAACAATATAAGTAAACTCCGCACCAACTGGTTGAAAAATGGGTTGAGACCCATGGGATGAAAAGGGAAATTGAGTCCTCGTCCTACCGAAGCCATTATTGTTAGAACTTCGGACAAAGAACACAGATATTTGATTCCTTTATCATTTTATCAACACGTGCAGCCTTTTAGGCAATCCTTAATTCCATCTTTTTAGTCTATTCAAGGAAAGATAACTAACTTGTTTCGAACTGAGTGGCAAACTTTTTCAGTTCATTTCAGTTTATTAAGGGCAATAGGCGTAAGCCTTTGAGTAACCATTTGCAAAGTAAAATAATATGTGCAATACAGAAAAATGTTCTGGGTTGAAATAGTTTAAACGAGCCCATAACGGCAGGACAAAGTGGGGACGAGTTACAGGGAGTGGGCTCAACATCTCATCGCTCTTGGTCATTTCGGAACATAGATATGTCAAGGTTCTTTTTGAAATTTTGTATTGATGGTGACATGACAACGTCTGCGGGAAGGGCATTCCATGGTTTGACCACTCGAACAGAGAAGGAGAACTTCCACGCATTCAGCCTTGCCTGCTGAGTGCGCAGTTTTAACGGGTGACCTCGGAGTTCGATCGTGGTACCGGATCCAAAAAAGACGCCGATGGTCAGAATACAGTCCAGCCCCTTTACAATAAGGAGAGGTCGCAAGGGATCCCCGCGAAGTTGCCTATAACTCAATGGAAAGAGGTGCAGGTTTATTAGGCGGATTGCATACGCAGAGGAGCCTTGACCCCTAACCATCTTCGTGGCTCTCCTCTGAACTGTTTTGGGGCAATCTTGATCCTTAACTGCCCACGGTCTGTAGGTATGTATGCCGTACTCCATTTGCGGCCGCACGAATGTTCCCAATATATTTACGAAAACATCTTCGTCAAAATCCATAAACGCAGGCTTGTCGGCGTATAGTACGGACATTGCGCTTTTTGCCGCTCTCTAACAATTAGCAGACGGTTCCAGGAGGTTCGTCGTCAGCGTACCAAAGTCCTTTCGGACTTCAAAGTCTCGTAAGGCTGCACCGCCCAGAAGGTAGTCTCTTGTGCTGGCAGATCTGGCTGTGTTGCCTAGGCGAAGTATGCAATACTAACCAAAGCTGAACCGCAGGAGCCAGTGGTTTGACCACTCCTCCAACCGATTTAGGTTCGCCTGCAGTCTGTCTCCGTCGGCAGGACCCCGAATTACATTCCATACCATCATGTCATCGGCAACCATTGCTACTTCGCAGTCTAAAGCTCTTGCGGCATTGTCCACGTATATAAGGGACAGAACGAGTTCCAATACTGAACCCTGGGGGACACCACTCCCGATCATAGCAGGATCTGATTTCTCTTGACCGATGCACACAACCTGGTGTCGACCCAAAAGGAAGTTTTCGATCCGTTTAAGGAAATTGCCATCTATCCCTATTTTTAGTTTATATAAGAACCTCTGTTGAAGCACAGTGTTGAACGCTTTCTGGAAATCGATGAAGGCTACGTGGACCGCTTGCCCGTCGTCGTGAGCTCGGGGTCCAGCTCTGGAGAGATTGCAGCAAGTTTGTCCGGCAGGACCTTCTCTTCCGGAACCCATGTTGACACTTCGATAGTAGACCGTGAACTTCTAGAAATTACATCGATTCATTCTTCATGATCCTCCACGTAACTTTGCTTCGAATATATGTCGAGCCTATAGGCCTGTAATTTTTCATCGATGGCCTGCTACCCCCACTGTATAGTGGAATAATGTGGGTGAGCTTCCAATCGATGGGAAGTGTTTCGGTGTCAAATTACGTTTAAAAGAGCATCGACAAAAGCATATAAAGCTCCCCAGCAAGTTCCATGAGAAGCTTGAGTGGAACCTCGTCTGATCCTGACGACTTTGATTCGTTAATTGCCTCTAATTCTCTTCCAACAATGCCTTCTGAGAAAAGTCTGTTACTTATGCTTGGAGTCGGCAGTTCTTCTATGGGGAGAGGTAGGAGCCTTACTTCGTTTATGCAGACTGATTGAAAAAAACTGTGAAAATACGCAGCTTTATCCCTACTATCAGCAATCTCAACGCCGTCAGTAGCCCTTATTAAGGGGATCTGATGTCTGCTCCTTGTACTTCGTCTGAGGTAGCTTTAGAATAATTTTGGGTTCTGCGTTGCTTTTTGTAGCAATTTCGTCTCGAATTACCGCCACGTTTTTATAGTCATTTTTTTCAGTTTGTTCCTCTGGGTCTTGAAGGTGTTGAAATATTCAACTTGTCTGGTGATGCAGTATTTCTCCACCATTTGTGCTTCCTGTTGATTTATTTCTTTAGGTTGTTACTTAGACATCCATGGCGTTTGTCCAGTCTTAGGCTAGTCAGTGGGCAGTGGTTGGTGATGAGCTGCAGAAGGACATTCTTCAACAACTCCCAGTCATCACTGTCATTGTCCGTAAATAATGGGTTCCAGTCGAGACCGGATAAGTCTGCCCTCATCTCTTCGAGATCTCCCCCCCTTCCCCCCAATGTTGAATCTTTTGACCTGGAGTATGAAAAATGGTGAATAACGAATAATCTTACATATGCATTACATGGTCACCTCGACCGAAAGGCGGCATGAAGATGACCTCGAGGAATGCCGAAGAACTCCGTGGGGTCAGGATAAAATTTGATGTCCGGAGCACTCCAAATACGTGGTACACCAACTGCACAACGGAATAACGGCTAACGTCACAGACAGTATGACAGTCTCGGAAGCCTTTGCGCTGACCAATGAAGCGAAGAAGGATGGTGTACTTTCTCTCACCTACTTCAGCTTCATGTTTTACGCCATGCTGATTCACGCTTAACGTAAGGAGCGGGTGGGAACTAGCATCGCCTCCTGAATCGACAGGCAATAGCTCAACGCACGGCGCAAGCAAGCACCAGACCAGCACACTCGACCTTCTGTCCGCAGAGGAATGTACACTCAATACAACGATGGAGGTGGTCATTCAAAGGAATATAGGTCACTTTGATTCCAGGTGTGCCAAATTTGGATTGACCATCAACTCGGAGATGCTGGTGGTCCTGCATGAACCAGCGCCAAACACGACTTCAACGGAGCTAAATACGCCGCCTTGGACAAGTGAGCATACCTATGCAGTACAGGCTCACTGAATATCAGGATCGACGACGAAGTGGCCTGATATATCCCTGAATCCATTCGGACATTGGGACGGCTATAGGTCTTAGTCTCGCATCGCTGGAGACTTCACAGGAAAGGCAAACTTTAGACGTGTAGGAGGGTAGTCCTGATGACGTTACTCTTTGTAACGAAGACATGAACCGTCTTCACCAGCCAAGGCGAAAGCGGGACCTATTCCTCCTCAGCTTTCTCCACGAAATAGAAAAGTTGAGGTGACGGTACACGATTCAGGATACGGATGCCCTTGAACGAACGGGAGTACCCAAAATGCACGTCCTGCTAAGGTAACGGTAACTGCACAGCAGCGGCTACGTCGCGAGGATGGATGACAAGCATTTGCCCAACCGGCTCTTTTAGGACGACGATATCACGGGTGTTTATCAACAAGGCGGGCAAAAAGACGCTACAAGGACACCCTACAGGCCTCCCTTATATTTACAAATCAGTCCGAAAACCTGTGATGCTCTCGCGTAGGATCGACAGACTTGGAAAGGAATATTAAAGCCTGGGGGAGCAGTTTATGAGATCAATTGCATTCCTGTTGTCAAAGCCAAAATGGCGACTCATAAGACACAGATGCTGCGAACCCTCGACTTCAGCACTCCATCACTCTGAACGCGTCCCATTGTCACCGGACATTTTTCGTCGGACCGACCTAGTTGGACATCTTAGGACACAATGCCGTAACAGCACGACCCCTCCCCCTACTACCTCTTCAGATACCTCCGCTGTCATCTCTGCCGCAAAATCTACAAGGTCCACAATGGCCATCGCCGACACACGCAACCCCCTCTGTCACACATGCCACAATTCCCGAAACGATATTGACGACTATCATCTGTCAAACTGCTGTCATTGGTGGGAACACTTTGAAAGCTCTACCAGCCACTGCCTTCATCCTCGACGCCATTGCCCCGACTATCAGATATAAGGACTTGATCCGAACCTGATCTCACTGCGATCGCATCTCCACATCAAGCATATGCATGGTCGGTGTCTCGCGAATCCGTTGCACTGAGACCGGTAAGCTGATGTCAGAAGCCCCAACATACATCCTCCGTATCCACCTCAAAAGTCTGCACTACCCGCGCAAATTCAGTCACCGCATGGGTCTACTTGGCCACATGCACTGCAGATCAAATTCCATAAACACACATACCCTCCCCCAAACTATATACCACACACGAATCCGTCCCACATCACCCACGGAATTAGCACCTCTGAAGAAGATGGGAAGTGCGTTATTCGGATACTTCTCCGTGTAGCCGTACAGTAGAGTTATGCATCTAGGATCAGAGCAGTCCATCCCTTTGTGTAAAAGCCTGGCGTTTTGTGTGCGGGTCGGGTTCTGCGTTGCACCAGAATATAATCTTTTCAGATGTCAGCGGTTGTGCTGACTTTAGAATCAAGTGGTTTGCCGGCTCGTATATTCAACTGTTGCGCGGGAGGTGGGAGACAGACGGAGGTTAACTCTGTGGATTCCATTCCCAGCGCATATCTCGTTATAACAAATCTGACCCACTTGAGACTATTATGACACGCTAAATATCATAGATCGGGAGGTTGCCGACTAACTTCACAGCACAAACTTTGTAGTTAGTCCTGACTGGGAGATCATGAGCCAGGGTTAACGGCTCCTTCCTTCTATGCCCCGGCAGGTTCTGACGCAGTGCTAGATGAGAGCGAGCACCCAGTTTGTGTAAAAACCTGGTGGGTCATATTGACGCTATGTAACATGTGGCACGAGCAAACGAACTATCTATATCTGTAAGTTACTACTGCCACACTCAGTTTATATCAGTACATATAAGGGAGGAAGGCGGAGACTCGGGAAGTTACCTTGCACATATATGGATGGAAATAATGCACACATTCGCATAACAGTTATGTTAAGTCTTAGCATTAGGTGTCTGACCGGCTCAGACAGTGGACTGATACCAAAGAGAGAAGAGGGGTGAAGTCGAGTCGGGGGATCGCACCTCCACAGCGATACACATACGTCTCACTGTAAACAATCTGACGCGCTTTTTAGCTATCACGTTGCGCCAAAAGCCGTGACTTGGAAGGCTGTCAACTGAGGGGCTAAGTCAGTCTTCAAACACAAGGAATCGAACCGAATTGGTCTCTTCTGAATGTGGCTTATATGACACTCCAATTCCTTTGGAATATGGGCCTCCCTTTCTGTTATTTGCACGAAAGCCTGATCCATCCTGCGTGGACCAGGCATATTTGCCACGCGCAGACGGAATCTTCAGTTCCGTCGATTACAGTGTCCGATCCCGTCTTCAATGTTGATGATTTTGCCGCAACATCGGGCCCAGGTTGGGGAGGAAGGTATATGTCGATAAGCTTGTCATCAGTATAGACTAATTTATGCAAAAGTCACAGTCCCTACGCCCGCCATTTTGTAGGGCACTCGGTGGACATCGTTGGTAATGGCTGCCTAAATACCATATACAGTTGTTATTCTGTCACACCTCGAATGCTATCACCTTGGACCTCCCACAGACACCTTAAAAGTCTGGGTCAATGTAAAGGATAAAAAGTTCCTAATTTCCGCGTCCAGGGAAACAAATGGTGTGGAACATAACTTCTTTTCTCCCACCGTGACCAAATTTACGATTTTTGAGGGCCGCCTACAAATATTTCGGCCGACAGACGGGTCTTTTGCAGAGTGAGATTACTGAAGAATTCCCCCTAGTCCCTACACGCAGATTATGCAGCAAATGTCTTAATTCCGTGCGGAGTTGTAGGCCGCCTACCGTATACCGTGCTAATATGGAACTCAGCCTTTCCCACCTAAGTCTGCATCCCACGGTCACCAACCGTACGCTATCTACCTGCTTTTACGCAGCGGTTACATGGGTAAACGCAACTTAATTTTTGCAGAACTAACCGCTCCTTCATGTTCGTTTTCACTGATTTTCTCGCGAACTGCGAGTTCTGTCACTTTTTAACTCCAGCTAATTCCGTTGTCTGATTATCCTGTAGTTTGACGTTCTTGGACTGGTGTAGGTTGTCCGTCTGCCTGATGTCATAGCGACAACTGCTGTGTTTAATCGAAATGAGCATTCTAGTGCTTGGTCCGGACTTCGTAGCCATCCAACTTTGGTAAAAAAAGGCGATATTGACATGTGAGTGCTACTTATTTGCTGATAAACAATATTCATCCACCGTCGACTGGCCGGAAACAGAACTGGTCGACTCTCTGTCGACTGTAGGCATTCATAATCTGATCGTCAAAAACATAGAGAATAATAATATGAGTAGAATACTAAAAAGATATAATTCAAAACTTCAACTCTTCATCCGATCCATGCGCAGACTCCGTCCCATAAAAGTACGGATTCCTGCCTTCCCGAACTTAATGATGAATTCTCAGACTATAGTTCCGTGCGCCCCCTGCCGCCAGGAGGCTGTGAAGGTTTAAAATTTCAGCGGAGGGCTGGGAGACTTGGCAGAATTTTGGTATGAGGAGGTTTATAAGCAATACAGTTAACAGAGCAAACCACGAAATGCATAATTTTGCCTGGTTGGCAAAGTCGGATTAAGTAAATACATCCTGTAGTCTAACTCGTTTCAACAGACGCCATACCTTAGATCACATAAAAAACAGGATATATAATCATTTCACATTGCCTTTATTTTTTTGGCTTGCGTATCGAAGTGTAACTGAATAGGACGCTTGTTTGAATCGGCCCGGTCCCTTTCGGTAGCCATTCCTCAAGAAACGACAACAGTGAGTCTGATCATGTCCGTTTGGTCAACGTTCGATGCCTTCGCACCGCTTTGTAGGGTCAAAACATGGCTGACGAAAATGAGCTCTTGGATTATGATGACGAGGAACAGGAGACTGTACAGGAACCGAAACCAAATGGCGAACTACAAGCCAAGAAAGGCGTTCAGGGCGCCTACGTTACGATACATAGCTCTGGATTCCGCGACTTCATACTGAAGCCGGAGGTTCTTCGCGCCATCGTCGACTGCGGCTTCGAGGGCCCCTCAGAGGTGCAACACGAATGCATCCCACAGGCGATTCTGTCCATGGATGTCCTGTGCCAGGCCAAGTCGGGCATGGGGAAAACTGCTGTGTTTGTCATTGCGACACTCCAGCAATTAGACGCTGAAGAAGAACCTGTAGTGCGTGTCATAGTGTTGTGTCACACCCGAGAACTTGCCTTCCAAATTAGCAAGGAATATGAACGTTTCTCAAAATATATGCCTAAAATAAAGGTAGTTGTCCGAATTCATCGCTATATTTTCTAAGGTTGGCGTGTTCTTTGGAGGAATGCCGATCCGCAAGGACATTGAGACCCTCGCCAAAGGCGTCCACATCGTGGTTGGTACTCCTGGTCGAATCCTGGACCTTGTCCGCAATAAGGCCCTCAAACTAAACAACGTCAAACACTTCATAATTGATGAGTGCGACAAAATGTTAGATACTCTCGGTACGCATAGTTTACTACCGTTTATCTTTACTTAGATATGCGTCGTGACGTACAGGAGATCTTCCGAATGACGCCGCATCAAAAGCAAGTCATGATGTTCAGTGCAACAATGAGCAAAGAAATTCGACCTGTTTGCCGAAGCTTCATGCAAGACGTACGTTGATGGAAGGGCGGTGGATTTAATAACACCACCCCGACAAGATAGTGCCCACTAGTCCAGCCCTACTGTTCCTCCCGACTGTAACCAAGCCATAAGTTGTCCGACATCACAGTCAACTGTTCTACAAGCGCCACTCGGCACAATTCCAAGTGCGTCTTTTCGGGATCCAAAAACCATCGTTGGTCGTTGCCGGAGGGTGAACGAGGATGGTGTGCAGCCGTCGTCGAGGCCTTCCCTGACCGGCAGTGTTAAGCGTATCTCACGCGAGTAGCTACGTAGGGTCCGGAGGCGTTCCCTGGACTATGGCACTCCTGTTTTCAGGTCTTCATAATCCATCTTTTCCATTGTAGCCCCTGGAGATTTTCATCGACACTGAATCCAAGTTGACCCTCCATGGTCTCCGACAGCACTATGTCAAAGTTAAGGAGAATGAGAAGAACAGGAAACTCTTCGAGCTGTTGGATGAACTGCAGTTCAACCAGGTTTGTATGATGTTTGCTATGCTAATACTGATGTGGTGCCTTCACGCACATGTGAGTTGAACTGTTATCTGACATGTTTCTGTAAGTCTTTTTATCGATCTTCTAGGTTATCATTTTCGTCAAATCTGTCCAGCGTTGCATGGCGCTTGCCCAATTGCTCGTCGAGCAAAATTTCCCTGCCATCGCAATGCACCGGGCAATGACCCAGGAAGAACGCCTGAAACGATATCAGGCTTTTAAAAACTTCCAGTCTCGCATACTTGTGGCAACAAACCTGTTTGGTCGCGGAATGGACATTGAGCGCGTAAACATCGTCTTCAACTACGACATGCCAGAGGATTCCGATACATACCTGCATAGGGTTTGAGACGTCCTAATCCTAATCGAGCTGAAATTTAGGTTGCCAGAGCAGGGCGTTTCGGAACCAAAGGCCTGGCTATTACATTTATCTCGGATGAACATGACGCCAGCATACTGAATGATGTTCAAAACCGCTTCGAGGTGAACATTAGTGAGCTGCCAGACGTGATGGAGATATCAAGTTACATGGAGGACCGCTAACTGCAACGAGTAAACCTGTCGTTTTTTACCTGTACAGTTTATCTTTTATTGGAGTAAAGTCCGTGTGATGTCTTGCGAGTTTTTTCTAATTTAACAATATCCCTCAACCACGGATCCTTCTCTGGAGGTTTGCCTTCGCCAATCCCGGCTCGGTCAAAGCCCGATGGGGCAATTTTTTGGACTGAACTTAGTATAAGCTTCTGGTCGGCGTTGTTTAATATCGTGCAGCGGTTGAAAAGTGTAATGCCCCTTGCCTGTTAGTATTCGGATAGAGGATTTGGCGAAGGTGGACGAGCCATACATTCGCGGATGCCTGTACTTCCTAAGATTGCCCTGGCGGGCTATTGGTTCAACTTCGGAATGAGATCTAGGGAGTCTTCTGCGTTGCGGCGAGGGGGCGGACGTTGTCTATGTCATAATTGTTAGTTCGCCATCCTGTCAGTTCCCGTGACTTCTTTCTTTTGCGGTTCCTATCTGAACTCCCGTAATTGATCTGTCGGAGATTAATTGGATCGGACACCGAGGCCCTTCCGAACCATCCTGCGCCCTGGTGCCTAGGCGTCGCCGTGCGCTCTTCGACGAGTTCAGGGACACGCGGTCGGCGGGTGTGGCGTCACATCGTCAGGCCAGTAGAGGCGTCGGTGGTCCGATACTGTCGACGGCTGGTGCTGCTCACGGGCGTTTGTACTTGTCGAAGTCTAGCGTCTGCCATTCTACGATTTTCGTCGAGGCCGAATACAACCGACGCAATTCCGGTTAAACAGTTCCCTGCCCATGGCAACCGTGTCGCGGTGTGGAGTTCGTCGGTGGCCCCTTGCTGTACGTAGGGTAACCCATGATTGTCCGCGACCAGGCTCACCACTGGTCGCCTTATGCTAGAGACGCTGTACGGCAAGATGGTATTCGTTCAGCAAGCTTCTCGGAATTCGTCATGGGGGGGGGGAGACTTCATGCATGATTGGAGGGCTTTTAATGCCTAACTCGGGGCTCTCATACCCTAATTGTCCCGTCCTGTACTTTTAGTAGTCACCATGTTATCAGTAACCGTGTGAGTGGCGTTGTCAGCTCCACTAGCCTAACGAGCAAACCCACGAAGGCCAGAGTGTTCTGGTTAGGGGGCCTTCGACACCGCCACGACGTTCATGTGGGATAGTTCAGCACTTGAAAATACTGGGGACAACCCTCTCATCCGAATGGGATAGTAAGTGTGGTCTCGGGACTAGAGATATTTTCAGTGGAGCCTTTGTTTCCGAAAAGTCGGCACAGTTTCTGTCTGCGATTCTGTGGCGCCGTTGTGCAACTGCGGGTTGCGAACGCTGGGATCTAGTGCATTGGGAAATTTGGGTTTGTCTAACCACCATTTCTTGGAAATATTCTACGGAAGTGACAAACTGCGCACTGTGGCAGGAGGCGAATAAACTCACTAAAATAGTTGACCTCGTTACTCTTTGAATTGGTGTCACCTGGTCCAATACCGTTCTGGGGTCGTCAGGGCATGGCATTGCGCATCTCGGAGTAGAATTGATTGACAAGACGAATCCTATAAGCCTGTGTGATATCAACTACTACCTTTGTTGGCAGAAGTTCCAGCTGAAATTTTCCGCATCAGTGAAGGCTGGTCGAGCACCGGAACGGTCTGTTTATTGTTCTGAGCTTCCGAACTCGTGCAGGAGTCCACCGCCAGTGATAGTAGCAACAGCAGAACAAGTGACGGTTGTAGAGCGTGCAGACCAATCATCGGTCGATGGTGCAGGGCTGGAGTTGACTGCGCGGAGCTCTGTACGCCGACTCCAGATAGATAAATCGGTGGACTGAGTTTTCATCTTAGGCCCAGGCTTCAATCAATGCTCGGTCTGTTTTGTTTCTGGCGTGGGCGATTATCTTGGTGACTGCGAAGTTGACATGGCGGCCCATTTCGTGGATGTGGGCACCCACTTGTGGTAATTCGTCACACAGCCGGCTTATGTTCACGCACCCAGTCTGGCCTATGTATTTACGAGGACAGTTTTGACACGGGATGCGACACATGCAAGAGTTATAAAAGCATTAACTTTGATCTATGTCCGATCACTGATGTCTCGGTTTAATTTCCTCTAACCACGTAGTCATCTTACAGGTAGCCTTGCATGAGTGCGGAAGTACTTGCTTGTCTGACTTTAAGTGACATACGCCTCAAGTAAAATCATGCAACTCGTCAGGTTCAGAGTACCTTGAATGCGATGCACAGAAACTGATAGTGCCAACCCCATCTAGGACAATCGTCTCCAGTTGCTTTACGATTCTGGCAGTCTCCAGACGGAGACTCGAGAGAGAGAGAGCCTTATGGGCCTTCTCTCGAGCCCGTAAGGCACAACGAAACGAGTGAGTTCCGTAAGAAAGATCGATGAGCACCCCCTACCACAGTCTCCAGACGTTCTTAATCCACATATTATGACGTTGTATCTGTTGACGGTCAGTAAAGCGGACTCTGCTGAACTACGTCCGATCGCCGAAAGCATTATGTGTTTTGGAATATGCCAGCCCTAATCCAACTTCCTGCAAAGCGACATAGTTGAAAATTAAGAGGATAAATTGACTTTTTTTATGAATATCGATTAAATCCAACAATTATGCACAATTACAACTCGAAGTCGTCGATGAGAGTAAGATTTATCCTTGTTCACAGGAGACATCCTAAGTTGAGATGTCGTTTTTATTCCTCCCATTCTAGTTTGGGGTGATCCCAAACATGTCCTGTCGTATTACGGCCAGCGAGCCTAGCTGACTATGAGAGATTTTGAAATCCTGACCAACACGACATAGATGGGCCGGAGCAGATGCAAACGTACTGTCTCATATATACGTAATGCCCAAGGTCAACGCTATCTTGCGACCCTCTAACCTTGAGACTGCCAAAAAATGAAAATATCTTCCTCCGAGGTTCCATCCTTATCTCTCACTTCCTTTCTATTTACACTGATGACCTAAGATCACACAATAAGTGCATTAAAAGAACATTCATCACCTGTTTTTGAGTGGAGGTTTGGATCTTGTCGCTGCATGGTCTTTGGGAAATGGTCTTCTACTCAGAAACCAGAAGTAAGTTCAGTATGTGTGTCTCGACTGCGATCACCTCCCACGCCCGAGTGTTTTGACAACCTTCTCAATGAAGTACCGTTTTCCGGTTCCTGGGTGTTGTCCTCTCTTCAAATTTCTCATTCTACCTTCATATTTAGGTCCCTTTTAAGAGAATTCTTGGTAAGATGTGGTTATGTAGCCGCACCTGATGGAAACAACACTGTTGATCCATTTAACTATTTTGAGTTGGTGTGATTACGTTGGTATGGTGTTGCTGTGCTTTGCGATGTGTGTGTTCTGTTGACGACTCTGTCTCCTTGTTGCCGTGTCTACCTTTTTGGCCCAGTGCCGGTGGTCCTTCTTGACTTTCGGCCTGTCTTCTCCTTCTAACTTTTGTGTTGCATTTTTCAGGGTTAGGGCTTAGGGTTGCGGTTAAGGGGTGGGCTTGGGGGTTAGAGTTAGGGTTAGGAGTTAGGGCATCTATTTCTCAACCACTCAGAGTGCAACCGCGCATTCCTGCCTTGCTTAAAAATAGGCTAATTTGAATGTACGCCCTTTGAATGCTCCCTTGAACTGGTGATGTTTCTTATGTCTTTTTAGTCGATATAATAATGGTAATAAAAGGAGACCTTACAACGGGCAAGCAGAGTGCCGATCGAATTCTGTAGTTACTGTAATGTCTTTCTGTAATTACTATAATTACTGTAATGTCTTTCTGGTCCATGCTCCGTGGCTTCTGGCGTATCTCTTGTCGTACGTCCGCATAACAACGTTCCATATTACTATTTCTGAGGACATTAAAAGGCGACCATTTCTAAATTGGAATGTCTACCAGAAAACACACGGGAAATGCTGGGGGACCCACCGACTAGTCTAACCCCTCGCAGCTGCGCCATGCAGCGGCAAAACACGCGTGTATGGGCTTTTGGCTAGTACCTGTGCTGTTAGTATGGCATCACCTTACCCTAAAGTATTTCTATTTCTGTCAAGATCGAAATTCTGAAACTGCGACTCGAGCTGTCCCAATAATTTATGTACAATTATATTTACTCTCTCATCATTAGTTTACTTGTATTCTGGCCACGGAGGCGGCAGGCGTTTTTTGTTCAATTAAGAATGATGCCTTCAAAATGCAGCTTATTTTTGGCCCCCTCTCTCTCCCTCTCTCTTCCCCTCACCCTTTTTAATGACAAGAGTGGTAGCTTGAGATCCACTCCCACTAGGTAGGACCGAAGAGGAGGCTAACCAATTACAGCACAGACATCTTAGCAACCGCCTGTGACATGAAACCGCTGTTGTCGCTGGACGACGCCAACCCGTAGCGGACTGACGGATAACCAATTTTCACTCCCGGATGGCATATAAAAGGGAAAAAGCCCAGATCTTCTTACTGGCTGACAGCCACTTCAGTTAGTCTCGTGAACTGCAGGCTTTTTTTGTTCAATTAAGAATGATGCCTTTGAAATGAAGCTTATTTTTGTCCCCCTCTTCCTCTCTCTCTCTCTCTCTCTCTCTCTCTCTCTCCCTCTCATTTCCCCTCACCCTTTTTTATGACAAGAGTGGTAGCTTGAGATCCACTCCCACTAGGTAGGGTCGAAGAGGAGGCTAACCAATTACAGCACAGACATCTTAACAACCGCCTGTCGCTGGACGACGCCAACCCGGAATGGACTGACTGGTAGCCGTTCTTTTAGATGGCTCCGGAGTTCGTATGACCGTGGATTGGGGTTCTCCCTAACGTTTTTCCAGCTAACACTTCGGCTATCCTGCCTCCCTCATCCCGAGATTCTGACACCTTTTTCTCTACCGGAGGACATATAATAATATTAATTCCCGTCCTCCATTTTTTCGCTCTGCCTTCCTGTTGCGATCCTCTTAAGTAAACTTGGAAAACTTGTTTGTTTAATCCAATTTTTTAACACACCTCTCAGTTCTTAATCTGT